CCCAAACGTTCTGCGGAAGTTCCGCCAGTTGTCTGAGAAGTGCTTCACAAACTTTCACTTTTAGATGGACGGTGTCGCAACTTGTCATGCAAAGAGAGGAGCAGGCACTGAGTCATCCTCTAGATATGGTCGCACATGTTCAACCTTGGATGCTGATCCCCATCGTACCTCTCATAATCATGTTTGAAGGTGAGTCCTCTAGCTAGTTTGCGCTATAGTAACTTATTTGTATTCTCTTTAAATCTATTTGCGCTCTTCCTTTAGGAGCAGAACTTTCTTACGATACTGTTCTGTACTATAAGCAACAATATGCTCCCGTACAAGTTGCATTGTTAATAGTTTGTGGAGGATTGTTAGCTTTTTGTATGGAAATGTCAGGTACCGCTTTCACTCGTGGTTGCTTGTACCGTGTAAACACACACCATGTGGTTTTAGAGTACCTTTTGCTAGTGAACACATCTGGAATCACGCTAAATATATTCGGAATAGTGAAGGTAAGGCTGCACTCTACAAGAGGGTGTAAGTGCCATATTTTTCAGTTCTACTTTTCAGGAAGTTGCAACATTGCTTCTAGCACATCTTCTGAACAATGACCATCTATCTACAGTAAATGTAGGTGGTCTGGTCTTGTGTTTATGTGGAATGACTTTACACGGCATGTCACGAAGAAGACAAAGGTGAGCTGTGATGGGAGGATTTTCCTTTTGCTGCATGACCCATTTCTTGGTTTCCAGGCGCATTCTTTATCCCTGCATTTTGTTTTAGTCTCTTATCTCACCATCGAGCAATCTATAATATTTCGTATCAAAAGCTACATAGATAGTCGATCATGCATATAAATTCTCGTGCGTGCAATAAGTTATTTGCCGCCACCGAACGTTCATGTTTAACCGTTTTTGTTTTATGTAGGTGTAAGCACCGCAGTATGAACATACTTTCACCACCTTGGAATTTGAGGGCACCACGGACTCACATTGTGGTGCGCTGCCTACACCATAGAGTCATGTGGATTTCCCGCTCAAAGGCAGCGGCTCGGCAGATTCTCAATTTGAAGTTTTTTTGCTTACCTGGGGTAATTCGAGGCGC